CATCATCATGGTGTTAGGAGGGTAGAGAAGAAGAAAAAATTTTTAAATGCTAAGGTATTGTCACTCCTTCCCTGGGGAATGGAGAGTAAAAACTAGGTGCCCAGAAAACCTGTGTTTTTGCATGCTTAGGTTGCCTTTATCTGACTGAAACTTAACCTATGCCTTCTGGAATTCAGACTGAGTCTTTGTTCTGCATGAACCATGCTGTCACTTAAAGAGATCACTTATAATGTCCCTGATTATTTAAGATCAGTGCTCAACGCACACTGTCTTTCTTTTATAAGCACTGTCTCGGACTTGCAGCGGGATCACGAGGCAGTGTGGGTGGGGGCAGTAAAGCCCTTTGGACGAGGGTCACCTCCGTCCTTGTTGTTCACTTGAGAGCAGTGGAGAGGAAAACGGTACTCTCCCGCGGACTTTGGCTTCTAGAGCCGCGGGGCCCTCAGTCCGGGCCTCCACCAGCCTCTGCCCTGTTGAAAGGAGATGGGGGTTGGGGGGAGCGGATGAAAAGAGTGAGGGTGTTGGGAGAGGGGATGTGGCTGAAGAAGCTACCCTGATCTGCTGGGAGGATTTGCGTCTTCTGCAGGTCAGAGAGTGGGCCGCTGAGAAGAGGAGGTGGATGTCGGCCTAATTTGGTTGCGGAAATAAAAACTCTAAGCGAGAAACCAGTCCATCTGCAGGAAACAAAAATATGGAAGTCGAGATCTGAGCAGAGTTGTCACTTCCCCGACCTGGTGGTGGCGAGCTGGGGGGCGGAGACTCGGGACAGAAGAGAGTCCCCTTCTCCCACCTCAGCTCCTTTCCTTAGACTTCCAGAGGGAGGAATTCTACCCTGGCCTCGCTCTCTCCTTCCTCACACCCATCCAGGAGCCTGCCGGCTCCCTTCCGTCCTTCCTTTTTCCTTTGAGCGGGAAGAGTTTAGTTTCCTAGCTGGTGAAGTCAGTCCCCAGGCCCCTCCCGCTCCCACGCCGGTCGCCCTCCAGCCATCGCTGCCGCCACCTCGGTTCCACTCAATCGATTTTTGCTGCATGTCAACACTTATTACCGGTGAGTGTGAGGGTATTTTTCTCTCCTTCTCTAGGTCTCTTAATGATTTCTGAGCTAGTTGTGTATTAAAGAGCTTAAAGGAACCTTTAAGGTAATCTATAGCATGAACGCCAACCTCCTCCTCTTGGGTTGGAGAGTGCAAGGTCGGGGGCCGGCGGGAGGTGGGGAGAGGAAGGCCCCCAGGAGCCCGGGCCTGTCCGGCCTCTTACCCGCCTTCCCGCGCGTCCTGAGGGCCTCCCGACCTAGGGGCTGGAACCACTACGCAAACTATCCTTTCTCCTCCTCTTCATCAGTCTCGCACCTTTTCTGTCTCCTGCTCTCCTTTTATTATTTTATTTTGTTTTTAATTTCTATGACCTCAAACTCTTCATTCCCGGAATTCAGATCGGTGGAAACCTGGGGAAAGCGTAAAAAGTCCAGGTTTGTCTCCGTTTTCTTCCGGTTCCTATATCTCACTTTTAATGCCCGCAACCTGGTTAGAAGTTGAATCAAATATATACATACATGTTTATATGTTAGGAAGCTTTGGCCGTTTAAGAGATTTGATTAGGAGACGAATCATCCTTTCTGTCACGCTGCCTTGCCCTTTCTCCCATCCAGGAGTCCTTTTATGAGAGTAGTCAAAAAATTAATGAGGAAAAAAAAAAACTTTAAAATATTCCTGGTAAATCCCATAAATTAACACTGAGAAGAGCGACAAGCTCCTTTAAAGCGAGTCTATAAAAAGTAAGCATGCCCTGGAAGGTGGACGCCCCTCCCCCTTCCACCCCAGACATATACGAATGTGTCCAAACAAAGGTCTATCCTGCAATCCACATCCTAATCCACGGGCGCCCGCGCCCCCGCCGCCGTCTCCCGGACTGGCTCCCCAACCTCCGGCCACCTACCCTAGGCGAGGGCCACGCCGGAGTCCTTAGCTCCCCGATTTATGGTTATTAAAGGAAGAAAGGAGGGGCTGTAATCAGATCAGAGGCCTTTATGAATATAGACTCCCTATTGATTGATTTATAAAACCCCTGGCAAACTGCAGTTAATCTAAGCACATGGAAAGCCAGAAACTTGGCTGACAGGGAGGAGAGGTCTCCGAGTAAATAGGAGAAATTTCTGGTGGCAGATTTTCAGAGGAATTAATAAAATCACTCTACTACGTCTGCCTTTCCTAACCTGACATTGTCATTGAATTTGACAAAACGATTATTCAAGATTATATATATATATCCCATAACTCATTGGCCTTTCAGGTTTCACATTTTTAATGGGACATTTTTACTCTAAATTTAGAAATTTATTTTTCATTCTTGCCCTTCCCCCTACCCTCCATCAAGGAGAAGGCCTTCTGGTTGCGGACTTTCTACCTAAAAAGACAGAAACCAGAATCTGTTGTATTTGAGATACATAACTTCATTCACGTCTATGTTGAGTGTTCTATACATTTTTTGCAAATGTAGATTTTAGATTCTGTGTGAAGATGGAAGAATGCCTGTGAAAAATAAATACCGAATGGAAGAGGTGTTTAATTATCCTCCGTTAACTTAAAAAGAAAACATCGCTATTCCTGCTATGATAATGTGTTAACAGTTATGTGGTAGTTGTGAAAAACGGTAGCTAAGTGTAATAATATAAGCTATTTAGCTGAGGAATGGCTTGAAGAATCATCTCAAATCCTTTTAAAATAAGAAATATATATAATTTAAAAAAATTCTGCAATGCTATTTTAAAAAAACAGACAAAGCCAGTTTATGAATGTATGGCAAAGGTGTTCACTTTTGTGGGGTTGGTATGGAGGCCAATGTTTTTGTTTTATTATTCCCCCAGAAGGGCTAATAATGCACCCAGTGAGTTCAGACTCACTGGGTGCATGGGCCTTCCTTGGATTGGATGAATGTCTTTGGTGGATCTTTCCAGACCTGGTTCTCCAATTCCATTCTTCCAGTAAGAGTGTTAAAGGTGTCTTTCCCCACTCTCCTCTCAGCTCTCTTTCTTCCCCTACTCCCCTCCCTCTCCTCTTTTCTTTATCTACAGCAAAGTTTGTTACTGTTTGTCAACTCAGAAAATGACTTGCTTGTTGCTGGGACCTGATGTAACATGATTAAGTCCTGAGGTGGTTTCTTTAGAATCCTGAAACTCCTTCTAACCTGACTCCCGTGTTTCTTCCTTCTGTTTCTTCCTTCCGGAAAGTCTCTGCAGTGACAATTTGTGGCAGCGCGGGACACCCTCTCACGTAGTTCTGGGTGAGAACCTTCCTCCTCAGTGCTCTGCGGCGACAAGACCTAGGGTTGGATCTACTGTTCCTGAGAAGGTGTTGGGACAGAGAATTGAATGTGACTTGGAACCTAGAATAGTGGCAGCCAAGGATTTGGGCGCGCTCAGGGCTGCCTCTATCAACAGCCCATTCAATTCTGCTTTTCGGTGTGTGTATCTGGGTGGAGTTGCTACA